GAAGTCAACACTGATAGGACCAAAAAGAGAGGTCCAATTTTAGTAGAACATATTTATTTCTCAGTAACTGGTGGAACAGCAGACAGAAAGCCAGTAAGGAGAACGAGAAATTAAGCCACAGTATAAATCAACTGAACCTAACTGACTTGTCCACTCCAGCCAAAAACAGCAGATTAAGAATTTTAATATGTGCATACAGTAGCCACTGAGATAGACCACATTTGTGACCATCAAACAAATCTCAATAAATTTACAAGAATTGAGATCACACAAGTGTATTCTCTGGCCACCACAGGGTTAAAGCAGAAGCCAGTACAGAACAGCACCTGGGAAAGCCTCCAGTGGAAATGGATTGAGTTAGGTCTGGAAGTGGCTCAGCGGGCGAAAATGCTTGGTGCACAAACATGAAGGCATGAATCCAGTCCCCAGAACCTACAACGGAACCCTGTGTTGCTAAAACTCCTTCTCGGAGGGAGACAGAAGTAACATCTACCCCTCCTCCTAAGGACCCAACCACAAACGGAGTTGCGATTCCACCAGAATTCACTCTGGGGAACCAATGAGTTTATTGGGCTGCCTTCCAGAGCACAGGTGCAGGTCTACTTACTGGCTGTGCTCCCTCTACCAAGGGCTGCATCGGAGTCTTTACTAGGCCTCCCAGACCTATATACTCTACCCCTGCCCAAGGCCACCGCATAAAACGGGGCAGGGAGGGACTGGATACTCAGGTGAGGGTCTGTGACCCTCCGTGACCTCCTGCAAGGGCATGTCAACAGCCAGCCAGCCCAGCTAGGATGATTTTTTGCAATCAGACACAGTGGAATGGCCAAGACTGCAGGGAAAGTCCTGTGCAACACCTTGTCTCAGGAGGGTAAACACAACAGCAACTCTTGGGGATACAGGCAACCTCCAAAAAGTCCTAAACAATTTTAGTGGCTTCAATGACAGGAACAAATTATTTGAAAGATACCAAAACTCAGTCTGCCAAAACTCACTCAACAATAACTAAGCCACTGGAACAGCCTTACAAACCTCACAAAAAATGTCAGGCCCAAATGACTGCCTGGTAAATTCTACTAGACATTTAAAGAAAAAACAATAATTCTATACAATTGCTTGTGAAAGCTGGACAAGTAAAAACTGCTCCCCAATTATTTTACTTATTTATTTAAAATTTAAAATTAAAGGCCAGGTTGGTGACTCATGCCTTTAATCCAGAATCTGGGAGGCAGAGGAAGCAGATCTCTGTGAGTTTGGAGCTAGCCTGGTCTACAGAGAAACTGTCTTGAAAAACAAGTAAATAAATCTGGGCTGGAAAGATGGGTCTGCATTTAGAGCATGTGATATTCTTCCAGAGAACACAAATCTGATTTTCCATATGAGTATCACGTGGCTCACAGCACCTGTAACTAGCTTCATGAGGATCTGAAACTCTGTCTCCAAAATCAAAAACAAACAAACAACTCTCCTGGCCTGAGAGAAACGAAATAATTAGTCCATCTCCACAGCTGCTGACACAGACACTTGACATTGCCTCATTAGTCAGAACCCAAGTACCACAGCATTCATTCATTGGTCTCTGATCAGCCTATGTTTGGACTGCTCTTGAGTCAGGTGATCGCCTTGGAATCAACCAGTTTCTTTTTAAGTTCAGAGACCTGTCTATTCATGTTCAATGAGCAGGAGCCCTCAACAAACCAGTTTCAGCTGGAAGGAGTGACCAACTTGTATGATGTTCACTTAGTGGCCCGTGCTTCCACGTCTCATAAGAAAACCGAGGAAATGTTGACACAAAATCTGTGTCTGAACTTGACATAAGCGAGAGTTATCTGAAGGGGGTGAGCGGAGGAGAACCTCAATTAAGAAAAGGCCCCTATAAGACCCGGCTGTAAGGCATTTTCTTAGTGATTGAAGGGGGAGGGCCCAGACCATTTTGGGTGGTGTCATCCTTGGGCTGGTGGTCCTGGGTTCTATAAGAAAGCAGGCTGAGCAAACTGTGGGGAGCAAGCCAGTAAGCAGCAACTTCCATGGCCTCTGTATCAGCTCCTGCCTCCAGGTCCCTGACCTGTTAGAGTTCCTGTCCTGACTTCCTTCAGTGATGGGCTACCAAGTGGAAATGGAAAAAATGCTTTCCTCTCCAACTTGCTTTTGATCATGGTGTTTCATTACAGCAGGAGAAGCCCTAAGTCCTCCACTGTTGAACTAATCGGCCCATATCATGTAAGCCCCTCTACTAAGTACCTCTTAAATAATATATTTACATTATTTTGATCTTGCTCAAGAGAATCTTGTCTAATACAATGAAGAGTTTGGCCAAATCAACAGGGACCCAGTCATAGCAATGATTCTTCAGGGTAAGATGGAGGACAGAGCAATAATTATTCCTGCTTTCTGAAACCTCAGTACCTGACAGAGACCTTACGGAGGAAAGATTTACTTTGCTTCTTGGTTTTAGTCCATCATGGAAGGGAACCATGCAAGAAGGCATGGTGCATCAACTTAGTTCTTGGGCAGGAAGTAGGGAGAAAGAGCAGGAAGCAGAGACAGGGCAGGAACTGGAAGTTAGTACAGCTAAAAGGCCATCCCTGAGGATTGATTTCGGCCAATTAGAGCTACAACCTTCTGAAATAGACCCACCATCTTGGGAATATGTATTGAAACATGAGCCTGTCAGGGAGAAATTTTCAGGCTCAAACAATAGAGTAACAACAGATAAGCCAATCTCTAGGTATTTATTCCCTGCCTCATTCCATAAATGGTATAGTTAGCCTTTAAATGGAGTTTAAAGGCTTTGTGGTTACTTTAAGCCTCTGAGAAAAATGGAAGTAAAAGAAAAGGAAAATTGGGAATCTTTCACGGAAACAAGATGGAGTGGATAACAAGAATGCATTCTCTATGCTAGGCATGGTGGCACACTCCCTGATCTCCACACTCAGGTCCATGCAGATGGACAGAGTCTGAGGCCAGTCTGGGCTCATAGCAAGATCCTGTCACAAACAAAAATAAAAGAAAAAACAGAGCTTACCATCAGCTCCTGTAAAACTGCCAGAGGGATGTTAAAAGTTTAGTTCTGAACTGCCACACGGCCTGAGCAAAAAAAGGGAAACAGGCAGTCATAAGTTTCAGATGTTTAGAAGATTAAATCACCAGGAGGTCAGAGAGGTGCCTGTTCAGCTGTTGAAGTTGCCATGGGTGCGCAGGGCTCCAAACACACTTGTGTGTGTGTGTTTGTGTATGTGTTTGAGTGTGTGTCCATGAGGACCAGCTCAGAAGTTAGGATGAACCTGAGAGGATTTGTACATACATGTAGTTGGGAGATTAAGAGGCTATTCTCTTAGACTCAAAGGCATCTTCACAGGAGACCCTGCTGGAGACCAACTGAGTGTGGTTTCTCAGATCCTGGAGAAGTTTCACTGATGATAAATAACACGTGAATTCTCCACATGGTGCTGGCCACTAGTGTGAAGTTGATCCCTGCAGAAATGGAGGCGTGATTAACACAGAGTAGCAATGGCCTGAGTCCCAGAGCCATCCCCAGCTGTGGCCCTTCACTTGGCCTGCCCCCTCTCCCCACCATGACTCACAGGGCTCATGAGCAATCCTCATATGCCCGATTTAGAGGACTTACTCACCCTTTAGAGACAGACTTTAATGCAATAAAGCAAATGGCAGCAAGTGGGATGCAGCTGGGTGCACCAGGCCAGCCTGCAGCTGGCTTCCTATTCCCCAGCTCTCCCTACAAGGCCCTCTAGCCACTCAACACCTCCACAAACATGCACAGTGTTTCCAGGTGGTACTCCAGGCCTGAGTAGAGGCTTAAGGGATATATAACTTGGAGGGGTTGTGACTCAGGTGAGCCAAGCCCTGAAGTCTGAAACACAGGAGTTAGGGGTAGGTAAGGCTGCCTTTCTCCCTGTCCATTGCTCTACTCTACAGAGAGCAAGACTTCCTTGGATGTGGTGGGGGCTGAGTGACTGGACCTGATTAGGTCTTCTTGGTCTGGGTGGCCTTCTCGAGAAAGCCAGGAGCCCACAGAGCTGGATCTGGGGAGAGGAAAAGACAGCAAGGTTTCAGTCTTAGGGCGATGTTTGGAGAAACTGGGTTCCTTTGCTGTCATCTTGCTATTTGCCAGCAAAGCGCTCATAGGGATAGCTGGAGACCTGGGTCCTGAAATGAGGGGTTAGGCTGGAAGCATCAGCTGCGTGAGATGGCGTAAAATCGTCTTCTTCCTTTTGGCCTGGGTTAGGGAGCATGCCAGAGTCTGGAGCTTAGTGTACCAGGCAGGCATCGGATTCTGGTTCTTCCTCCACTGACATGGAGAAAATTACTCACGAGGGCAAGTTGAGCTTCATTTGTATTTAAATCCACTCAGAGGGAGTTACCTGGGAGAGTTAGTTACAAGGGTAAAGAGGAGGGCAGTCCATTAAGGGGAAGTTTTCTCCCTCAACTCTATCTAGCCAGCCTTTCCGGAGTCTACCATATGCCAGGCAGGGCAGAGGAAGGCTGGCCCGAAGCCTGGCATTTGGGTTTTCTGGATGGAAGAGCTTTCTATCTCCAGGAACTTTTGTGGAACATCTAGCTCATTTCAGTCACTTCAGGACGATGAACCAAAAGTTAAACCAGGCTGTGAAGGGGAGGTCAGGTTTCCACAGGGACTTCTCTAGCAACATTGCACGTCCTTGTTAAAACCACAGACTCAAGAGCAAACACGCAGTTTCCAGTACACCATCCTCTCCCCTCCATTCATCTGGAAACAAGATGGAACTGGAGAAACGGCTCAGCAATTTAGAGTACTCGGCTGCTCTTCCAGGGGACCCGAGTTTGACGCCTACCACATGGAAATTGACTGTCCTTCCGGAGACATGCCACTGTCCTCTGGCCTCTGCAGGTATTAGGCGTGCGTGTGTACACAGGCCTACTTACACACGAAACAGTAAAGCAGGGGTAAGCCAGCCTCTCCCAAGCCACCACTAACAACAATCAGTTTTACTTTTTGTCATTTTTATTTTGCGCTATGTAAAAAACAACAACCAGCAATATACTGCTTTTCTTCACATTCACATGGGTTTTGGGGACTTATTGCCTTTCCCCCTGGAAAAACTACCAAAGAACAAAAGTAGTAGTACCACATTGCAAGAGATGCAAACCCCAGATTCAGTAGCTTGAAGACAACCCCCAGGGGCAGGGAGGGAAACAATGTCACAGTGGACGACAAGTAAGCACACAGGACGATGAACTGAGGAAGTACTGTCCCTGCCACTGACCCCAAACACAGTGCACGCCCCTTTTCTCCAGGCATTTACTGCCACCTCCTCAAAGGGGTGATTTTTTGTCTAGGGCCTGAAAACCTTTTGAATGACACTGGAGTGGCTTTAAAGAGAGATACAATGGGACAGGTTCAAGTATGTGTAAAAATCATGCCGAAGTCCAAGGTTATAGAACCCTCAGTAGAAACAAAACCCTGATGAGTCAGCAACTTCCCCTTCAGCCAACAGCTTTATGGCAGGTACTTCTGTCTTGACAGATCTAGCAGGGTTGTCTTTTCTGATTGGGTGGCAACGAGCTTTATTCTCTAAAGCGACAGACAGACAAAGTTTGCCAAAGTTCAAAAAAATAGAGTGAAAATTGTGCTTCCTTCTAAATGAATTGGCTTCGCCGCTGCCTTCTCTCCTGTCCAGCAGCGTCTTGCTCCCGCTTTGCTGGGATATTTATTGCCTTATGCTTGAAATGAAAAGGCGAAGTTTTGAGGTGCAAGGACTGGGCGGTCCTGAGTGGGTAGGCGTTCTGGAAGTAGTCAGCACTGCTGTGCTAGGGTCATGGCTTGGCCTCCCTGCAGCCCCGAGAACCCATCCCCGGGGCTAGTCTGAAGTGCATCTGCAAGCCTGGTGACCACTCACCGTCTCACTGGAGCAGTGGGACAGAGAGAGAGGCCTTCAGTATTGCACAGGTATGAAATGTCCACAAGTGTAAAAAACAAAAATCACAGTTGCTCTTAGGGATTCACTGGTAGCCAATCACAGTCTCAGCAGGACGTGGCTGTGGCCACAGGGCCCCTGTGGAGCTCTGCAACTGTGGAGTGGGTGGGCACTGGTGCCAGCACTGAGGTAGGGAATGTGCAGTAGGCACCCTGCATATCAGGGCTCCGGGTCTGGAAATGGTCTATAAACGAGGAGTTGGCTGCCTCCCCCTGGCAGGAGGGAGTTTGTGGGGTGGGTGTGGAGGGCAGGATCTCAGACTCATACTGAAGCAGCTGCCCCATGAAGCCAAAGTTGGGAGAGATCACACCCCTCCTCTGCTTGATGTAATCAAAGGCCTCCTTCAGGCGAAACTGCTTGGTCTTCATGAGGTAAGCCATGCAGATGGTAGGGGACCTAGAGACCCCAGCCTCGCAGTGGACCAGGATCTTGCCTCCTCCTTCCCTGACGCAGTCTGCAATGAAGCAAAGAGAAAGGTTAGAAGTCAGAACTAGCCTAGAGGCAAATGCAGGGTGCACATGGAACAACCTGTGTGACCAAGCTGCCCTTCACTATGCAAGTTCAAGGGCCCTGGTCCTTAAGCTGAGTACGGGCTATGTACCACTAGTCTATAATCACAGTATCCGGACACACACACGGGAGGAACACAAGTTCAAGGCAACCTCTGGCTACATATGAGACCCTGCAATACAGCTTTTGAGATCCCAACGACGCATGTCCCAGTGGAGGACATTTATAATCTGTGAAGCCGTTTCCCAGGGCGCTTGCACAGATCCTTTCACTGCAGTACCAAACCTGGAAACATCCTCTCGGAACAGCTTCTTGACTTGTGTTCTAGGATCAGGTTCAAAGGAGCACTGAAATCCTCAAAACTGCATGCAGGTTTCCACATTGGGTATATGTAATTTTCTGAGTGTCCTAGGCTTAGAAACTGACCTGGAGAAACAACTGAGTCTCTCCAGGCTCCATCCTGGAAGAGGTCTTCTGGACTCCCTGAGCATCTTATCTTGCTGTGGCAGGGCAGGATGCTTGATGAGGTTCCAGGGTTCTCCCCAAACATACAACAAACAGTGCCTGGCCACTAATTATAGTCTTGCCTAAGTGACGCTTACTAGATGGAGGATATAAATGGCTTTTGCAAACTCCATCTTGCTCAACAATGGGAGTCACTGCTATAAAGCCACCACCATCAGTTAGCATTCTTTCAATTACTATGACAAAGAGTAAGTGTGAGTGTATGTGTATGAAGGGCCCCTCTGTTCCGGCTCTACCCTTCCCAGAAAAACTGCTAAAAATAAGAGTAGACATCCAATCAAAATCACACAAGGTGTCTCCCAGTTCCCTTCTGGTAGGGAGGAAATAGTCACCTTTCAAGAAGTTAGATATAGCTATTACTGGTACTGTATTAAAAGAAGATGATGGGGGAAATGCTATTCCTCTTTCCACATGGATGGAGACGCATGTGCTTAAAGTTCAAGAAGTCTGAAAATGAATCTGTATCTAAAAGATCAAATTTCTAAAGGGTCAAGGAGAAATGTTTGAGGTTTCCAATCTGAACAACAAAACCTCAAGGCATGCCCGGAGCAGCTCACTGGAGGCAACTCATCAATCCAAAAGTAGTAATAAAAGAGTCCCTGTAAATCAGCTTAGAGGAGAGACACCAAGTGCCTGGGATTATTGGGTTGAGGGTGATTATGGAGTTGTGTCTCATTTCCCCTTGCTCCTCCACTGGCTTGGGGCACTTATGGACCACTGCTATGTATTCAAGCACCTACAAGATGGCATTGCTTCTGGTACCCTTTCTAAACCTTAGGATCCTGCCACCCTCAGTGTCATCCTTCCTTAGAAGGGGCCGTTCATTGCTAATTTGAGTACAGGGCCACTGGGGAGGCTCAGCTCCTCCTTCCATTAGCAGGGCAGCTGTCTGGGTTAAAAAAACATACCAGGTGCTTTTGAAACACTGTGGGTCTGTGTGACAGTGTCCACAAATACAGACACAACATACACACAGGATGTGGAGGGAGGTTTCTCAGAACTGGATGGGGGCAGGATGCATGACGTCATCCAGTAGCTATCCAGGTAATTAAATAACAGGCTGAGAAGGGCAGAGCCCTCACAAGGGCACCAAGAAAAGTCAGGATTTCCCACCTAGAACCATCATCTTGGTTGCTGTTCTTTCAGTCTAGAGACTCAGGTGACAAGGACAGCCTCAGTCTGTGCCTCTGGTGAGTTTGTCAACATTTCTTAAGACATGGTGTGTGGTGAGCACAGGTCCTTCCACGTGACTGAAGGGGGCCCTTTAATTGCTACCTGTGCCAAGTAATTACCCTTGTGCCTAACACCTGCCTTTAACAAGAAACTGGGAAAATGATGTCTCAATCCCAGCAACTATGCATATAAAAGAGAAAGAAGGAAAAGGGGAGGGAGGATCACAAGGTTGCAGAGTATATTTGCACATCTGAAACAGAAAAGTCAGGCTAAACATGGAGGGGGCGCCCAAGCTCTATCCACAGGGCAACTAGAGGCCAAGGCTTGTACAATGACAGATGCCTCATAGGAATACAGGAATGATGCAAAGGATGCCAAATTTCCTGTGCACAGGCAGGGGGCTTGAAACAAGGGCTATCTTTAATCCAGAGTTAGCTGAAAATGCAAAACAAACTGCCTCCAAAGCCGTTTCCAGAACCGTGCAAAGCTGCCGGGCCCTCAAGGCTTCGTGCGTAAGGATCGCTCCCTCGGTCCTTCTGTTTGTTTTCAAAAATAGCCTAGCCTACGTGGAAGGAGGCTCTTCCCCCTGCTCTCCCCCCACGTAACAGCACACATGGACGCACTGTTCCTGCCCAGCAAGAGCAAGAGCAGCAAGGCACTGCCATAAAATGAAATTAATTCATGTATCTCGTAAACTACAACTCCTAATAACACTAACTCAGTCTCCCTTCCTCCCCGCCCCCGCCTTTTTGATGGCTACTCCTGTTCTTGGCCCCAACTCTTGGGGCTGCATACATACACAAGACACTTTCTTAAGCTGGGCATGGTGATAGATTCCTGGTCCCACCACTTGGGAAGTGGAAGACCTGGGGTTCAAGATCATTCCTGATTGCACAGCAAATTTGAGGACAGCCAGGGCTACAGAAGTTGCTGTGTACCAAATCAACGGACCCCTTAATTTCCGAGAAGGTGACCAAACCAAGATACCGAACGGTAAGAATACACAGTCCACGCCAACGAGGTTGCCCAACCAGTGGAGTGGAATGGCTGAACCTACCGATAAAATCTATTGCTTCTTGGAAGTGGGAGCTGATGTCCGCCGTGTGGCTGTCCTCCACAGGGATCCACTTGTAGTGCAGGTGGGTGGTGCAGGCCTCAGAGGTGCGGCGGGAAACGTTCAGCAGGGCTGTGATGTGCAGGTTGGCGAGGAACTCACACTTGGATGCATGGTAGGCACTTCCAAGGTAGAGGAAGGGGAGGATCTCCACCGGGCCACCCTAGAGGCAGGAGAGAACAACCAGGAAACAGCGGATTAGCTGGCTCACTCTGGAGAACAACAACCCTGACCTATTTGTTTTTTAAGGTGGGAGGTTCCCTTTCTGGTTTCCAGGTAGAAAGAGGTCAGAGGCAGGGCAATTCAGCCAGGAGTGTGGGAGGCACTGCCATTGTGGCAAACCCTCTACCCTCATGACTCAGTGACAGCAAAACTCCCAGGGACCGGAGTTTCATTATTTTGCACACACTGAGGAGGTTGGAAGTCCTAGCAGCCTTCCCAGGCTAACCGAGATGGGAAGTGGAGAGAACCGAAAGCGCTCTTAAGTTCCTGCTCCTCTGAGAGAAAGAAGCTACTGCACCTCAAGGCAGCTTCCTAGTCAATCCAACGATAAATGGAGGAGGATTTGACAAAGCATTCTCCTTTGCAGGGGGATATCTTACAGCATGTACTGCATAAGCCCTGACACACCTTTGGTAAAGGCGCCATCTCCCCGGCCCGCCAAATGTAAGTTTCTTAGAACTGAAAATAACCACTGCCTACCCAGAATCCAGACTCAGAAAAGCTGTTAAACCACAGACGGAGGGGCTTCCCCACCCCCGACCTCCTCCTGGAGTGTAGGAGTTAGAGGGGCTGAGGTCATCACCCATACTACGGGGTCTCTGGAGCTCCAGACACAGGAAGAGCCAAAGAACATGCACCCCAAGGTGAGACTGAAAATGGACCTTGTAAAAAGACTTTGTAACCTGCACATTTAAGGGTTCTGAGGTGCCAAGCGGAGGCCAGTGACTGTTGGAGCCCCCATTTCCTGTTTTTCATTTCCTGCCCCAGAAAGTGGAATGGAAATTCTTAGCCAGACCCACAGTAGGGAAAAGGTAAGGGATCAAGTGATAGGGGTCAGCAGCAGGCAAATCAAACCACCTAGCACACGTGAGCGGTTTAAACAAAAGCCAATTTAACCACATACACAAAACTAACAGATTTACATAAGGTTAATAACTGGCATGGGAAAGAACGGACGAATGAACACACACACACACATGCACACACACTTTTTGAGATGATGCTCATGCATCTCAGACTGACCCCAAACGCTATACGTAGCTGAGCATAGTTCGATATTCCTGCCTCTAGCTGCCAAATGCTGGGATTAAAGGAGTGTGCCTCCATGCCCAGTTTATGCAGCACCGGAGATTGAACCCAGAGGCTCAGTGCGTGGCAGGCAACCTCTACCAATTGAGTTACACATCTACAACCACCGTTTTTCTTAGCACCTGCAATGGTGGGGGCTTGACTCACCTATAGGTACTAATCTTGCAACAGATATATATGGCAGATCTTAGCTGAGTCCGTTTTACAGCTGAGGATGAGAAAAAAAGGCTGTTTCTGTTTTACTCCTTCCTGAGATAATGCTCTCTTCCATGCTGGCCTGGAACTTACCCTGTAGCTCAGGCTGTCTTTGAACTTACGGCAATCCTTCTGCCTTATCCTTATAGAGTACTGGTACTATGGGTGTGAATCTAGCTTAGCTATCAATGATGTCAGTAAAAACAGGAGGAAAATATTTGCCTTCTTTCTTGCATTTCTCTAGAAATAAGTCCACTTGCACCTTTCCCTTACTCCACCCCCAGGGCAGCCTTGTACAGGCAATTGTGGTACAGAGGTTAGGACAGGGGACTCAACATCTGTCAAAGAGGAGCTCTGGAGTTTGGGCAGCTCTGGCAGAATGAACGGGGGACATTTTCTATGCTCCTCGGGTAACTGGTAAGATAGAAAAGGGATAATGCGTGCACTATTAATGTGCACATTGTACAGCCTCCGTCTTCATTCAAGTGAAGCATGAATAAACAGAATACAGCTTCTCTCCTTGGGGAAGACACAGAGGAGATATTAAGTTCAGCAATCCCAACAGGACTGGTCTTGGCCTGAGGGCAGACAATCCCCTAGGCCCAGCCCAGCCCAAGTTCCCCACAGCTTAGAAAGTGGAACAATGGTAAAGAGGGTAGGCCCTTCTTGGGAAAGAGGTCAGAGATTCAAGTCCAAGACTCCACTTTGATCAGCGATAGCCCCATGCCCCATACAGCCATGCCCTCAAAGAAGTAGGCTGGACTCTGCCTAAAACTTCTCCTTTGAGTGCCTAGAAAATGTTGATACACCAGCCTGGGACACCACCCAACTTCCCCTGCAGCTTGGCCCATCACACCCCCGAAATTCTATTTCTTCTGTTCAACTCAAAAGGAAGACACCAAGGATTGTCAGAAAACCCAGAGGACATGACAGCTTCGCCTAGCTTTCTTAGTGTCCCGGGGAATCCCCGGGTGAGTGCTGACAACATGTGAGAGCACCCCACCCTCAGTGGACCAAAGGTCTACAGAGCTTTCACAACCTGCTGCCAATTCCTACTGCTCTTTCACTTTCTGCGAAACACAACCCAAATAAAAAACAAACACAGGCATCCACTTTGGATGGCCACTGTGGCTTCATGCTCAACCCACATGCTGATTTTCCATGAAAGAAAACAAACAGAACCCAGGACTCTGGCATCTGGCCAGGCTAAGAGGCTTCCAATGATCAAGGATCTAGTAGAAACAAGGTCACTTGTTTTTATTTAGAACTCTGTCCCCAGGGGCTAAGTTCTGCCCATGGTGGGGAGCTGGCATTTTCAGCCATATCTAGAAGGCCCTTTATTAGGGCTAGGTTCTTTGTTTGGGAGGAAAGTCTGAAAACCTCCTTCCAAGTCAGCTATGTAGGCCAAAGGTCAGAAAGAAAGCGAAGGTCCTGAGGGAACAAGAGCTGGGGGCTGAAGAATGGTCACCTAAGCATGGGCTCCTTGAGCCAGTGTTTGGAGTCTTTGCAATTGGCCTTACAGTCAGCCACCCACTAACCCATACATTAGTCCCCTGCCCCTGTGAGACGGCAAGCCCTGGTTTCTGTCAGGCCTGGACTTTCACCTGCTTCGCCCCATCCTCCCACATCATCTTAGAGGTACCCAGCTTCCTGACTGTCAGTGAGTTATAGAAAGTATACCTTTATAAAGGAAAACCCAAAAGACCCACAGGCTTACAGAAACATCTAGTTCTCTAGTATCTCCATTTCCTCTGGTACAAGAATCTATGAAAAGTGAGTGCCAGAAACCTGCAGAAGACAGCCAAGAATGGTGGCATAAGCTTAGAACCCCAGCCTTTGTGAGGACGATCTTTAAGTCATGGCTACCTTGGGCTACGTAGCAAGCCTATCCAAAAAAAAAAAAAAAAAAAGCATGGGAGAATAGGGCTGGGGGGATGGCAGCTAAGAGCACTTATTCTTGCAGAGGACCTGGGTTCGATTCCCAGCACCACATGGTAACTTATAACCCTCTGTAACTCCAGTTTCTGACCTCTGCAGGCAGGCATGTGGTGCACATACATATATGCAGGCAAAATACTCACACATACAAAATAAAACAATCTAAAAAACAAAACAAACAAATCAAGGAAACCTGAAAGTCAGCTCTGCATGTCTTCAGGGAAACCAAAACCAGCATTTCCAAGCTTCCCCAAACCTACCAAACCAGCTAATAACAATAATGTTATCCCTCACTTCCTCTTTTCTCCAGAAGCTGCCCATTGGCATCCTGTGGGCCAGGGACTCTAGTGAACTGTGTGCTGGAAGAATGCCCGTTTACCCTTGGATGGGAACCCCTGTTGGCAAGCCACAACAGCACTCCAAAGAGCAGTGTTAGTTCCCTTATTACAGAGAACCAACCTCAGCCTAAGGCAGGATGCTGAGGAAGGTACAGAGATGGTAGCTGGGAGCCACACACCTACCTGGTCATAAGCTGGTCTGCAGGTGACACTGAGAACAGGCTTTCCACACTGGCTGAGGAGGCCTCTCTCACTTTCCATCTTCTCTTGGGAGATGGGCTTCACATCCACACAGCACTCAGGATATTGCGAGTAGAAGGTCTCATAACCCCCTTCAAAAATAAATGAGCAAAGAGTGAGACAGGCAAAAGCACTGCCCTCTCAGACTGTCAGATAATACCTACCCGACTATGTGCGAGGTAGGGGTAATACAGCTTCTAGTTGTAGATATAAGCATACATAAACTGGACAAGGGCGAGCGAGACTGCTCGGGGGCAGGGCAGCTGGCCACCTGGCTTGGGAAAGAACCATCTCCTGCAGTCTGTCTTCTGGCCTCCACATGTGCACTATGACACATGCATGCTCAAGAAATAAATCAGGGGCTGGAGAGACGGCTCAGTGGTTAAGAGCGCTGTCCGCTCTTCCAAAGGACCTGGGTTCAATTCCCAGCACCCATATGGCAGCTCACAACTGTCTGTAATGCCAATTCCAAGGGATCTGATACCTTCACACTAATGCACATAAAATAAACATTAAATAACTTATTAAAAAATGAAGTAAATCAGTAAATGTCATTTTAAGAAAACTAAACAAAACCACCAGTTTTGGAATAAAAGATAGAGTTTACTCACAAACACCTGCCCCTAAAAGTCTGTCCTTTGGGGCTAGAGAGATGGCTCAGCAGTTAAGAGCACTGACTGCTCTTGCAGAGAACCTGGGTTCAGTTCCCAGCACCTACATGGCAGCTCATAACACCTGTAATTCAAGTTGGGGGGTGTCTAACACCTTATTCTGACCTTCTTGGGCTCCTGCACAGACAGTGCACACACACATAAATAAATACATAAATAAAGTCTTTAAAGGTCTCTCAGAAAGAGACAATGATTAACCTTTTATGTCTATTAGAAGCAGCTTTTCTGTCATCTGGTAAATATTAATCATATCCCCCCAAAAAACAAAAGCTATTTCTCTCTTCTTTACATAAAACAGTGGTGTGATTATACAAAATTTCATAGGCTCCTAAACTGGCCTTTTCCCTGTGTCCTTGCTGTACACAAAATTACAGCTGTATCATCTCCCACTCCTGAAGGAGCTTGTCCCCTCTCACACGAAAGGTCCTAACGTCCCTGACAACCCCTTCTCTGGGTCCAATTTAGTCATAAATCAAGTTAGCACATTCTAAACCAAATGAGGAATGCAGACTTCAGACATGTCAGGCTGTCGGCATCACATTTCAACTCCTGCAGAAGGCTCACCCTGAGCATGGTAGCACAAGCCTAAAATCTTAGCGTCGGGGCCACAACAGGAAAAGGAGTTGACAACTGTCTCAGAAAAAAAAAACAAACAAACCGTAGATGGACTTTCTTGCTTAGGTACCTTCTGTTCTGACAGATAGCAACCTGAGGTACTTCAGACAGGCCCCAGAAAACCCACTTGTTTTTCACTAGCCTCAAGGATTTACTCGGTGTCACCAGCTAGTAAGCTTCCTGAGACAAGGTCCTTTCCAAAATGCTTCCTCTTCTTTTCTATCTTTCGGTACTAGACAGTCAGTCCAATAGTGGTTGGAGGGCTTACTCCTGCAGTCAGCAAATGGTTAATGGATCACATGGCATTCTCCAACTCCCTCCCAGGAGCTGCAGCTAGTTCCTAGGATGAGCCATCTTGTCACTCGGGCTTCCTCTCAGCTTCTGCCACCCTGCCCTATTCAGTGCTCCCAAATCTCCCCTGTGGTTACTTGGCAAATAGCTCTCTGGCTCCCTGGAGAAACTTCTGGTCTTCCACAAATGGTCATGTTCTCTGGTGAAGACAGGGTGCCTGGCTTCTGTAGAAGGGGTTAGGGAAGTGTTTTCTTCCAGCAACCCCCTTACAGACCTACACAAATCCACACATATCCTTGGGGGCAGTGTTTCCTAGTCAGTAAATACAGGGTTAGTCCTGGGTTCAACAGTTCGGGTTCCAGAAAACAAAATGAGAGGTTTGTGGTCATTTGGAGAAAGACTAGCCCAAGCACTCCCAGACTTGAGGATGATGCTCTGGAAGAGAAGCTTTCGGGTCACCTCATCTCTAGGCTTTAAACAGACCATTAAAGGCAAGTGGACAGGGGACAGAGAGGTGATAGTTAGGAACACAAAACAAAACAGGCAGAGTGTCTTGTGTAGCTAGAGGACAGGCAAACAGGGCTTGCCTCTTACCGGCTGAGGTCAAGAGATTAGTTAGGTCTCAGCCGTCCGCCCACTCCCATCGTCCGCCCACTCCTATCAGAGGTGTGGAGAGAGAACCTTCCTCTCCGGCATCTCAGCCGCCCGCCCACTCCCATCGTCCGCCCACTCCCATCAGAGGTGTGGAGAGAACCTTCCTCTCCGGCACCTCACTCGGATCGCAAGAGTGCTAGCAATTCCTTCTTCAGGGTGAGTCTGCTTTCAATCACCAACGCACAGCCAGAGGAGCAGAGGCAGCACCTCAACACCACGTACAAACAAGCACCAGCCACCCAGTGGGTCTCCATCATCTCCTATCAGGGGGAGAGAAAACTGGAGGAAGTATTCAGGGCCCCTCACCAACACCTGACTGCTACCACGTTAAACCCCGTAATGCCCATCTGCACATGGTCTATTTAAGATAAAGGAAGTCTCCTCTGCAACGGTTTGAACTTCAGCAGTGTTATAAGGGTAGTGATAGCCATCAAAATCCCAAATGTGCATCATTTTTGATCTCCAGTTTTCCTGGTTTGAATGAAAGACAAGACTGCACGTGTTGGGGCACCTGACAAGGACATCTACCCTCTTCTGAACAGCCAGGGTTGGAAGTACTACCATGCAGCAACACGGATGTCTCCAAAATCTAGCTGGATGAAAAAGGAAATACATGGATTCAAGTTGTTTTTAAAAGCTATCCATGAGAGAAATTACCTAACCAGAAGTCGGTGTTGTTTCTGGGGAGAGGAACTAGTTTTTAGGGTGTGAAGAAGACAAACATTTGCTTAAACACCCTTCGTGCTACTCAGATTTTTTTTTCAAATGGATAAACATTACTTCATTTTTAAAAAGCGAGAGACCTCTGCAAAGGTTAGAGAAGGTCACCCTTCCACACCCAGCTGGGGCTGCAGCAAGACAGTGGTCCACCTCTGTTATCTCCCAGTGGGATCAACAAAGGACAGTTAGCAAGTGGTGTTAACAGATGGGCAGCCTCTGCATCTTCCTGGCCCACATGTCCAAACTGCATGGCTATGAAACAGGGTCTTAGCTTACTGCACCTGAATCCTGAACTGTACCAGAGTTCCTGGACAAGCGGTTTAGTCAAGAGTTCTGGGGCTATCCGAGTTCAGCTCTCACCTCTGCACCCAGGCCAGGGTTCCCATACTTTTGAGGTTAGAAGGCAGGAGCAGTCACAGGAAATGACCCAGAAATCAATGATGTGGGGTTTCAGAGTAATCACCCACCCACAACCGGAAACCAACGTTATCTCCCCAGCAGGTGAAATGGTTGGGCCTGGAGGCAGCTCTTGAGGGCCTAAAATCAAAGGCCACAGAATCTCCTCCGTATCTTACAGCGCCTGTGGCACCTCTCCTAACTGGGCTGGCCGGTTTGTGGTCTCTAACTGAGGCTTTCCCAGGGATAATCCCCTGCTGGGGAAGAGAGGATGAAGGGGTGGGAAAGCTGTCAGCTCTCAAATTAAGCTTGAGAAAGGCCTAGGATGGGAGAAGGAGGCTGGAGGAAAACAATAAAAAGCAATAAAGAAAGAGGAAGGGGAGGGACTTGCCAGGGTCAAAAAGGCAAGAGGCCCACCAAGACACAGCCAAACGCGCTGTTAATAGTCTAGGCGGGAAGAAGGGGGACACCCCGGCGCCTCTCTCCTGGGGGAGGGTCTCGACCTGCCTGATGGCGCCAGATAAGTAGAGAAAGGTTCCGACCCCCGTGGTCTGCAAACGGCGCCAGCGACCAGTACGGGCCCCAGGCCCCCGGAACTGCTACCAAGCACCTTCCCAGCCCACCCAGCCCAGAGGTCAGACAGGCTGCCAGGACGCTTTCGAGGAAAGGCGGGTGGAGAGAAGAAAGCCCCGGGCGCTGACGTTTGCAAGGACCTCCCAAGCGCACGTCAAACCCCGGGGTGCATACTCCCGCAAGTGGTGACTTTCTCCGGTCCGGAGTTCCCACGCAGGGAGGGAACCCTGGGGCCCCGGGGTCCCGGCACTGGCTGCGGAGAAGGAGGGCGGGTGGCAAGGGACCGGCTGCTCCCGGGACGAGCTCACCTTTAAGGAAGTAGACCCGCGGGCCGGCGGGCAGGCAGGCCAGCAGCGAGGTGAGCACGACGCGCGCGGCGCTCTCCTCCCGCAGCTTCTGCCAGTGGCGGCTGCCCTGGTCCAGCACGACCACGGCCGCCACGCCGCCGCCGCCCTCCTGCAGCAGCCGCGCGCGCGCCGCCTCGTCGGGCAGCACGTAGCGCGCCGACACCGCGCCGCCCCGGGCCCGCCGCAGCACCACCGAGTTGAGGTTGACGTTGAGCGAGCCGCGCACGCTCGAAGCGGCGAAGGCCAGGTAGGGCCGGCAGTCGAGCACCACGCAGCGCGCCTCCGCCTCCTTGCGGAGCATCTTGCGCAGCTGGCGCCCGTCGAGCGACGTGACCTTCATGCCGCTGCCACCCAGCTGCCCAAGGCCAGCGGACCGGCGGCCGAGCCGCCCTGCAGGGCTGTGGCCTGCAAACGGAGCCGACGCGTGGGGCCGCGCGACGCTCTTCCCGCCCCGCGAGCTCGGCACCCAGCGCGGCCGCCCGCTGCCCCAGAAAGCCGGGGATTCCGCCGGCAGCGCAGCGTTTTATGTGAATGAGAGCGCGTCCTGTGACGTGAGTGCCCATATAAGGCCAAATAGGGGTGTTTCTCCGCCCCCTCCGGCACGACCACGCCCCCTGGGCGGGGCGTGCGGACTCCCGCCTCCACCCCAGGAGCGGGATGTGGGGAGGGTGTCTTAGTCAGAGCGAGAAGGAGGAAGTGGCGGGCGCCTGCCGCCTCTCTCACGCGGCACCCGGGGCTGGTGAGGTGTCAGGAACGCCACCAGGCCGAGGCGACCCACGCTGAGCGGGAAGAGGAGGACGCACCCTGGGTCAGAGGCTGGCCGGGGTTCCGGCCGTTCGGGGATGGCGGCTGACGTGAGCCGAGGTGGGCTTGGGTATCCAAGTGCTGGAGGCTTCTAACACGCTTCCCCGCTTTCCTTGCTTTACTTTTCTGTAATAAAAGTTCCGAAAGTTAAAGTAAAAAAAAAAAAAAAGTGTGTGTTGCGGGGGGAGGTTGCGAATGAGCGAGGCAGGGGAGGCAGGCGGTTAGGGACTTCAGCTGGATTTTTGCCTGGATGGAATGGCTACCCTCTTTCGTCTCTCTCCAGAGATAAGAACAGTATTCCACCCGAGCTAAATGCCGAGACCCTGGCTCAAAAAACAAACAAAAAGAACAGTGCGCCAGCTCGGGAGCTCTGGTTCTGGGAAGGCGCAGCAGTGTCCACAAGCGTCCAATAGAGTGGCTCAGTCCAGTAACTGTTGTCCAGGTGGCCTCAGGATTTGGGGGATTATGGTGGATCAAGTGTAATCCGGCCTGTCTGCCCCCGCCATTCTCTCTGGAGCTGCAAGCTGCCAGGCCCCATTCCCGGAAAACTAAGTGTGCTCCGTCCCCTCAAGGTTCTGCTAGCTCTCAGGACACGCGGGATGCCAACGCATCTCAGCCTTTTTTGCCAACTCTTTTACTGTTATCTCTTGATGAAAAAAAAACTTCCTTCCCTTGGAGGGGGGTTTGTTTACAACCAACATACCAGGACGAGCTTTTTAGGAGAAAGCAGAAATCGAGTTCTGAGATCCAATCAATCAATCCCAACAACAGTTAATAGCAGGCTTTGCTTCTGGGTCACAGCTAGCTTCATCCAGCCCTGAGTATACCGGGGCTGGCCTGTGGTCCCAGCATTTGGGAGGCTGAGAAGAGTATTACAAAACTGAAGCCTGGCTGAAACGAAACAAGCAAAAGGTGTAGCCAGCAGTCTCCACCCAGCAGTTCATCCCAGAGCCTCACGGATAATGGGGAGTGGGGACCCACAGCGGCAGACTGTTAGGTGCCGGGTAACACCACTCACCCACAGCCCCAGCCTGGAGAGGCGGCCTGGCCTGTGTCAGGCCTCTCTGTAAGTGTCTGCACACCCACGGTGGGTGGGCTGGGGTGGAAGTGAAGGCTAGAGAGAGTTTCTCAGGGATGAGAGCTAGGACAGCCTTCCAAGAATGAATATAAACCACTTGACACGGAGGAAACAGACATCCCAGCATGTTATGGCGTTGGGAAGGCTGCTGCAAAAACTCAATGGAGAGGAATTAAGACACGTGGCCTTCTGTGCTTGCCTCAACCTCAACAGACTCTTGTACTGCACATGGAAAACTCCCTGCCTGCCTGTGCCACCCTGGTCATGGCATGAACCCTGTTTTCTTTTTCTTCTCTCTGTTTTTTCCTTTTTGGTTTCATTTCCTCGATTTTTCTTTACATTGTTTGTGATTGTATTTGCTATCACTATTTTGGCTGTTGAGGCACTGTCTCAATTCAGATTCCTTTTTCTTTCTTTTCTTTTTTTTTTTTTTTTTTCTCTTTTTCCTTCCTGACAGGGAAAGATCAGCTTCCCTGGAATTCAGGATGCTCCAACTCCACCCAGCGCTGACTTCTGTAAATCTATGGTTTTGTTTGTGCTTCACTGCACTCCTGTTTATTTACCTTGTCAGTTTGCCTGCATGTCACGGTGCACGTGAAGGCCAGAGGACAGCTAACCAGGGGCCCTTTCTTTCCTTCCATCATGTGGAACTAGTGCCCTTACCCACCACCTTCACAGCCCATGAGAACACAGGCTGCCCAGGAAATCATGACAGTGGCCAGGCCAGGCTAGAATGGCACCACAGAGCTGCAGCCTAGCACCCTCCCGGAGACCCTCCCCCAGGACCAAGACTGTCCTGATTTGCACAGCAGAGATTGTTCAACTGGAAGTTAAATTCATGGTGAATCACATGTACTAGAATTGCACACCAGCCAATCTGGACTGCCCTACTGGCGTGAATTACATGCTCAGAAGCAACACACAAAGAAGATATCCTATCACTTTGCCCCATGGTGTCCAGTGTCTTAAGCTGCAGATGTTAGTCTCCATACTGCCCCTATACAATGAAAACGTGTCCCATTCTTATCAATTAAAGAGAAGTTAAGACATTTGGATCTTCCATTGGGTCATGGTGACCTGATTGCTTTAGCAGTTGAGGTCATCAGGGAAGCACCACTGGAGAACGGAGGGTTTCTCTGAGTGTGGGAGTAGGAACCGGAGTGCAGTCAAGGAAAGGGCGGCAGGTTTCTGTAGGTAATCTGTGCCTGAGCTGGTAAGAACGTGCTTAAATTTAGCAGTACTCACAGCTGTGAAGAAGCCACACACACGGGGGAAGATTTAGAAAGTAAATGGCCCAAAGGAATGTGATGGAGACACAAGGGAGGGTGACACCCGTGGGAGGGTGATCTCAGAGTTTTTAATGAATGACTGAATGAATGGTAGTACCATTAGAGACCCTACAGCAGCGGGGTTAGGGACTGAAGGGAAGGAGAGGAATGGAGAGGCATGAGGAATAGACATAGGAACAGGTTACAGCTTGTCACGGCTCCTCTCGGGGTGTCCAGTAAGCAGGAGGGTGGCCTAGGAAGCAATGCTAGGTTGAGGTTGGTTCGTCTCTTCCCAGGATCTGAGGCTGCTGTGTAGGCCTGTCTTTTGACCTGTCCTCTTCTGTCATGTCACAGGGATGGCTTCACCGGCATAGCTGGCTGCCCCATTCAGCCTTGTATTTAAAAGTGTGCCCCGAAATTTTAATCCTATGCTGTCATCTGGAAATGTTTAAGATTCGTACAAGGGACCCTACATTTTCCTTTTGCAATTGGATCCCATAAAGTAGGTGGCTGCTGCTTGTCAGAGCTGGGATTGAAAAGCCCTGCTGCCCTCCCCAGACCCCACCGGACTAACATTCTGTGTCCCAGTTTTCAAGCCTTTTGGATTTCTTATCCTCTGTGCCCTGGCTACAAGAAAGAAATTGAATAGAGAGGCCACCTGCTCTGCCTCAAAACCTTTGATGGCATGCAGATAAATATCCAAATTCCACTGCCATAGGGGTGTACACCTTTCATCCTAGTGCTCGGGAGGGAAAGGCAGATAGGTCTCTGGGTGTGAGAGGAATCTCATCCACAGAGGGAATTCCAGGCCAGCCAGAGCTACAAAGTGACAGCTTGTCCCAAACAAACACATCCAAATGCCATCTAACCTTCTTTCCTCCTCTTGTCCCCGTACAAGAACCTCTACATATCTCCAGCTGTTGTTCCTCTAGGAAACCACAGCTTAGCTCTCCCCTTCCCCCAGCCTAATAGGGAGTGTCATCATTCCTGCCTATTCCCTGAGTGTGGTCACTCAGGGCCTATCTGATGTCTTTGTCTCCCTCACAGGGTGTGGGTCAGCCCGTGCTGATAGAATGGAATTCATGCTTGCTGAGAGACATGGAGCAGCTGGCTCTTTGGGGGCACACAGAGAGCAAGCTGGTGGCAACAAAAACCAAAGCCTGAGCCATTCTGAAGGAGGCAAGGTGGAGGATCCGTAGTCCACAGCACAGGAGAGGTTTAATGGCGTAATTACCATGACTGCCCCCCTCCTGCTCTGGAATGGGATGAGGATAAAAGAGTTTACAACGATGAGTCCACAAGGCAGGATCTTGTCCTATTTCTCCCCTGTGCCAGTGTCTTCAGAGTGAGCTCACGTTTTCTGAGGGTTTCTGGCCTTCCTTTGAGCCTCATTCTTTGGTCATCAATGTCCTACACTTGGAAGGCCTTTGAGCCTCATGGGTTTCGCTTTAGAAATAGCACACACAGTTTTCAGCGGACACTTTCAGGGAGCTCATGGACTTGTGGTGAGTGTAGGCTTATCACACCCTCAGTACGAGCCTTGGGGCCTCTTGCCTATCCCTATGTGGGCCAGGCAGATGGTAGGAAAGGATTAAGAAGTGTCCGCAGTGCAGAGCTCAATCCCACGGTGAGCCCAGGGTCTCTGCGAGCCCCACCGCTCCTGGAAAGATGCATTTTGCCTTTTGGCCCTCTCTTAATTCACTTGTTTGATTCCCATTGTAAGACTAATTTGTGCCAATGAAGTAGACAATTCAAAGAAAGGAAAAAGGGGGTGGGATTTTGTTTTAAAATTATTTCATTACATTTACTTATTTACTGGTGGGGGATGGGCACAAGCAAGGCGCAGCATGCACGCGGAGGTCTCTCCCACTCTCTGGATCTTGGGGGTTGTCAGGCTTCGTGGCAAGCACCTTTACTCACTGAGCCATCTCGCCTGACCTTGTTTTGTTTAGGGTGCAGCTTCTTTGAGCTAACATATCCAGACCTGACACTTGCTTTGACCATAGTAGGAGCAGGAACTGTGCTAGGAATGGAAGCTCTGGGCTGCTTTCAGGTCTTCGACGCCCAGTGTTTAATCATTACCCTCCTATCCATGCTACACTGTTCCCTCCCTGTGGCTTTCCCTCTCTCGTCCCCTGGATCTGATTTGAACAGAGATAGTGCTCATTCCAGCATAAAGACAGCAGTTGTGTTTTTCTTAGAAACATAGTGACTTGCTCACTGTCACAGGAGACATTCAACACATACAGCCGTACAAACACCATCAAGTTGAATGACCTTCTCTGTTAGGAAACTGTGCCAAAGGCCTGTCTCTCAAAGTCACGATTACGCCTCATTGTCTCCCACTTGTTAGTCACATC